ACCGACGGAACCGCCCTAAAAGGGCGAGTTCTAATTGTTTATTTTCCGTAACCAAGAATAACATTATTTACATAATAAATTACCGTCCTTGTCTTGGAAACACCTGTATCTTCTTTAGAATTAACCGCGTCTTAAATACCAGATTGCGTTAAAGTTGAGTTTACACGGTAACTTATGAAATTAAAATTAATACATCAGTAATTTCCTGATTTCATAAATAAATTGAAAAATCCTCACTACAGTGTGACCGGGCCTTTAGAAAAGAAAGGAAAAACAAAGATTTGATAAAAACTGCATTGTAGGGAGCTCAGCTTATACCTTAAAGCTTATCTGCCGTAGTTTACTGGAGGGGTTAAACCGCTCTACAAGGTCACTGGACAGGTGCATGGTTATTTCATCAACTCAGCTCTCAGTTAACATAAGAAAAAGAGGATCATGGGGGACCAATGGTCACCGATTAAGCATTGTTTGTTATATAGAGGGTGCAAGTAGCTACCAGTAGTGCAGTGGGCCTTTAAATGATTTCATTGACTCACTTGTGATCAGTTAATAAGCGAGTTCGTAAATAGCTCTGGACTGCATGACCCCAAAATATCCAAAGATCTTAGATACGATGGATACTTCCCACCTGTGCATTTTACAATAATCACTGCCAAAGTGATGGAGGTGCTTCATGGATACCCATTGTTTGCCTCTTGAGAAGAATACTTCCACCTGTGTATCAGATAAAATGTACTGTTGGTGCATAAATGAATACTGACTACATAACTTTCATGAGCACGATCCGAGTATTCGTCTCAATGGTTTTACAATTTTGGTACGAACGAATGACCTTTATCTGCCCATGCGCAAATCCTAATTACGAACTCGCGTATTGCTTTACACCTTTCTGAATAATCCTCATCTATATCTCAGCGACACATTAGACCTCAAAGCATCAGTTCCTTACATACAGTGTAGGTACATTTTATGTTTAGACTGTTAGAAAAAGAAACATACTTTACCTTAATCTCTGTCAGCCAATTATTAACTCCTTTACGATAAGTCTGTTCCTGCTTCTTATCAGTGATGGGCCAGCAGTACCTATACATAGGGTAAAAGTGAAAGGAAAAATACATGTAAAATTAAGAACATTAATAATAATAACAATAATTATGATAATAATTATAATAAAAATAATAATCCCGTTATTGCAAAGCTGAAGTGTTATGAAATCTCTGTATTGATAAATGAGCATTTTGCTTGAAGAGATATACAAGGGAGGAATAGACATGTAAAACTCCTCGCCTGGCGGGGGTTGTACTTTTTAATTTTACGATATCACGAGGACAGAACCACATTGCAATGGTCAGAATGCAAACTGCGTAAGTGTTAAGTGTTGCTAGGTAGGTCAAGCCATAATGTTTGTCCAACCTGGCAACAACTAATGTATGTAGTTTGGATTCTGTCTATTGAAATACTATTATTCTTTTCAGGTGAATGAAATAATATGTATTGAGGCACTTTACAAAGGCCTATGCATTAAATTTGGTTACATTACGAAAATGACCTCTAAGGTTATACAATGCGTCCCAGAAAAAACGAAACCGAGAACTATCGTTGTTTTATCATAACTTAATTACAATTATAATTAATAAATGACACATATTTGGAAAGCTTAGATCCTCCTCTTTAATGGCATGCAACTCATATAATGCATATTTCAGGCATGGGTGATTTAAAGCAATTTGAAGAGAGGAAACCAAAACTGAGTCATTTGGCGAGCGGTATCTGAATTTTAAAGAGAAAATCTCATTTCTAAAAAGATCAATTTCTGCCCTTTCATATGACACCTCAATCAGGAAAAATGAGCCAGGGATAACAAAGTTCTGTTTGTTAAAAAAAAATGCTTGCATTTCCATAATTTGATCAATCGAGTTCGTTTTCACTGGCTACCTGCCGTAGCAACAAACAGAGTTGACAAAAGACTTAACGCAGCGGGGCAAGGGTACGTCGCCGCCCCCACAAATACAAACAAACAAAGAAAATGCAATAAATTATCAATAATTCATTGCATTTTGCCCCGACCCCAACATAACCATAAGGCATGGCCCTACAGAGGAATTTGTCCTAATAGGGACCGGGGGAACATGCAATGAATTATTGATAATTTATTGCATTTTCTTTGTGTGTTTTTTTTGTATTTGTGGGGGCGGCGACGTATCCTAGTCCCCGCTGCGTAAAACGCAGAATAAAAACCGTGTCGATCAGCTATATAAGTGCCCTTTTCTGAGGCATTAATCCTCATTACAGTCACTTATGACTTGAGGACGTAGGTCCCCTAGTTGATTAGCATAGTAGCACACACATGCTTTAGCAGTCACGCAAAACAAACACTCGCAAATCAATATCCAATAAAAAATCTGAGAATGTATACTATCATAGATCTATTAGGAATAAACCATTGTCAAAATCATTCCATAAATTGGGGTAAAAATAATTATTCCACCTTTATGACCAACAGTGTATATTCAATCCCAGCTATTGGAAATATGCAAAAGATCTTAAGTTTCCACTTTGGTCTATAATATGTTTTATTTTATATATATTTTTATCGAGTAAGTTTTTGTAAAATATGCACTCCCCTTTTACTCGTATGAATTTGTTATTAAGAATTATCTCATTTCCTTTATGGTTCATATTTCATCTGAAAATCTCTCGTATCCATCCAAACTTCCAATAGATTAATATAAAATTGTGGCAACGCTATCTTCAACAGTCCAAGGATATACATGTAATCACATGAAAATATGTATTTCCCTCCTTATCTTCTGTAAATATTTCTAACCAACATAACCCTCTGTGCTTTAATCAACAATTCAAAATGTATCTTTTTCATATTTCCAAACTGGTAATCTAAATACAAGGTATTTTGTTAATTTGATTCCTCCCGACCCACAAAGATTCGAAAGTTAACTTATCTAATCCTGATAATACCCATCCTGAGACCGGTGTGAGGGATGTCACATAAATGAATTTAGAATATACAAATAACTTTAATTACTGTATTTTACCCATCATTGTTAAATCTCTCTGCTTCCACCAACTCAACAATTTCTTTATTTTACTTAGTATTTCTTTATAAAAAAAAATTGTATAACTTTTACATTCAAGGAAAAAATACCCCTAGAATTCTACTTTTTGACCTAGGGATAAATTATAAGACTTTCCTTGATGATGATGATGATGATGGTGGTGGTGATTGATAGTGGAGATGATGATTTTGACATCCAACGTAACGCACCTTTTTTGAAGAAGAAAACAAAATTCGTGGCCCAACGCTGAAAACTATAACGATTGTAACTTGTGATGGCGCTACATGAAAGAAATTTATATCTGCACTGGTGCACGCATGATCACATTATCATTATTGTCAATTTGTTCCTTTAAATAAATTTTAATTGTTTTCCATATTGATGTATTTGTAATTTTTCGTTATATCTTTGAACTTTGTAATCTTTATTTGTATCAGTCTCCCTAATGTTTTAACATAGAATTTTAACTCAATAAACCGAAATGAACGAAAAAAGAATTCTATATTTAAAACAAATTTATTTTAAAAAAACTTTCGTTTCCCAATTTTTAACCAAATGAATGCGTTTCACACGGAAACAGGTCAATACAGCTAGAGACTTAATTAAAACACTACTTCGCACATGCACAAGCTAGCTAGCTTCTTCAACCAAACCAAAGTCCTTGATTTCCGTGCAGGCTTAGCTAGCCTTAATTCTGCTCAACTGCATGAACTCATTACAAGTGTAAGTCCCAGCGCATTCACAATGATGTTCGTCATCATCCATGTATTCCTTTACAAAAAGACACAAACAGATTTTACCCAAGGGCCAAGCATGGAACGGGCATGGAACCAACTTTCAAATGAGGTTTGAGTTCTTTTTTGGTGCCGGGCATGTACTCAATTTTTATTTTTCCTTTTGGAAGTTTGGCAGTTCAAATTTAATTGAAAACAGGTAAGGTGATGCAGGGGCGGCCGAGCGACTTCCAAAGTGGTGGGGGGGGGGGGGGACGCCAAGAAAAAAGGGCACTTTCTGGAGAAAAAAAGGGCACCTACAAAGTACCTGAAAAGAGGCACTTCACGTACCTGAAAAGGGGCACTAGCTAGCTTACTAGAGATTAAAAAGGGCGCTTATGAGAATGGAAAATTAACACTTATATTGCAAATGAAAATGGGAACTTGTCGAAGTAAAAGAGGACCGTGTCCAAATAAGAGGGGCACTTCTTCTTCTTTGGGTTAAGTCTACCTCCTTCACAGTTGAAGATTCTTGCAGACTGATGAGTGTGTGCTTACGAGAGCCAGGTGCATGGTGCAATGCTATTAACATGGTGCAAGTAAAAAGTTCCCGGACTTCGTTGCTGCCTCCTGTCAGGCATTGACGGAAGGCATTGACGGATGAGGCACATACTGTTCCTGATGGCAGGTCATTCCAACTCCTCACAGGAGGAGTCCTGGGAAAGAAGGACTGGCTTATGTTGCTCGGTTCTTGAACGGGGGACTTATCAGAGTTGAAAAGGGGAAGAGACACTTTTACAAATTAAAAGGGGGAACTTGTCAAAGTAAAGGGGGCACTATTCCTATGTAAAGAGGGGCACTTCTTACAAAGTTAAAGGGGCACTATGTAAAAAGGGGCACTTTCGAGTACTTGAAAAAGTTGGGGCACTGTGCCCCCCCCCCCCCCTCCCCTGGAAGGGCCGCCTCTGGTCAGATGTAAAACGTTAAAAACACTTGAGACTCTCACTTTATTTTTAACGTCGAGTGATATCAATGGTTTACCGAGAATCAACGTAGAAGATAACAAAATGATAAAAGTCTAAACTTCGAGCCGGATATATGGATCGACCTGTAACTGCATTTGTATACAGAGATCGAGGAAGCACGTACGGTACGTATGAACGTACGTACGTACCGGTACGTGTCATGGTAGTTGTATACTATAGCTAGTGGTACTCTTGCTGTGCCTTCTTCCGGTTGTGCGTTGTACAGCTCTTTGATGCGACGAAGAGATATGGTTACGTGTTGATATTTCTGCAGTTCCTGACAGTTCAAAGACGAGGACTGAGTAATTTTTCATCAAAATGAACTCTAAGGGACCAATATTACCTCTCCAACAGAGGTATTCTAACGGCGTCCCGTTAGGATATACCCGTTCAGGATTAAGAGCTTCGGAACGATACGTAGTTTATCTACTTTTTCTTGTGTTCATGAGTGTGTGTTACAGTGCAGTGTTTCTTGTGCCGGAGCTTCGGGGACGTGTAAACTCATTCGTGGACTCGCCCGAGCAGCTATTCAAACCAGGTGGCAAAGATGAAACATTCCCCGGTCATCTTCATTTGGACACGGGAGAGGAAGATGTACATTTAGAACAAGATAGGAAAAGAATAGAACTACAAATTGCCCAAGACAGGGCACTGCAGCAAGCAAGAGGGGCCTTAAATCATGCAGGAAATAATGAAGGAGGAGCAGACGAAAATATGGATCAACATGAAGTTGACAGTATAAAGAAAGATGTTAATGAGGATAAGCTAAAAGTTTTAGAGCAGCAGAAGAAACAAGTCGAGGAAGATCTTCAAGCGGCAAGGAAAAGTGGAAAAGATGCAATAGTTGCAAAAGGATATATTGAAAGGACAGATGGTGATCCAAATGATATGGATGTTACAAGCAAACGTGATCATATACGAGAGGTAGTTACAAAAGCAATCATGCAGAAAATTATTTTGGGGAAAATTGTTATGCAATCAGCATGATCAGGCTTACCATAACCACTTGCATTGCATGTTTGATGAGAAAATCATAGTCTCATAGACGGTACTCTAGTCATAGATCTACACTAGATCTACATGTTGTTTTAGGCGAAGTACATTTTTATCCCGTACTAGTTTCACGCCCATATAGGAGGGGTTGGATCCGGGCTAACTCGGACCAGGAGACAACTCGGCCCGGCTGCAAAATCCGTCATTTTTTTGTCATTTTACCCTAACTCTAACCCTAACCCTAACCCTAACCCTAAACCTAACCCTAAACCTAACCCTAAACCTAAACATGCAAAAAATGACCGTTTTTGCATCTGGGCCGAGTTGTCCCCTGGTCCGAGTTAGCCCGACTCCGAGGGGTTCTATGTTATTTGATATTTTGCCTGTATCCCTACATAGAAATTTTATTTGGTAGATGTATGTAGACTGTAGCATGGTTGATTGTATGTAGGTCTATCTAGCTGCATTGGATCAAGTGTCTATGCAATCAGCATCAGCTTCAGCATCAGTATACGGAAGTGTGTGGTGATCCTGTTGAAACTTCCGGTCGTTTCGTTGAGTGGTGCTTCGTTCTAATAAACCTGAAACTATTTTTGCTCGCATGGTGGATGGACGCACATATTAATTAATGACATGTGATTATGCATATCCGTACAAATATCCCATTATTAGTTGTGTTTGTGGTGACCTTGTGAGTTGTCATGACCCTTTACAATGCCACTTCCCTTACACTACAGTCATGTACATCACGAATATTATATGTGATAAATTGTCGTTTATTCCACAAGGAGTCATTTTATTCTAACTTCCAAGGAAGAAAAAAAAGGGCTTGTATAGCCCTAGACCGAAATTTCTGTCTCTTTCGTTCGTTAGCCTCTGATTTGGATAGGGTCGGCTCCTCTCTTTAGAGACAGAACCTGACCATAGGCGTTCTCCTTCAAGCACCATGGCCATTTATGGCCATATTTCTATGCCCCAAAAATTTCATTTTACCTGATGCATATCCCATTTATTCTATTTTTTAAATTAGGCCTAAACTATTATACGTCGGTTCCACTTACCAACTTGACTGAATAAATCTGTTTATTGGTCCATTTTCAGGAAATTATGGGTCAAAATCGACATCCATGTTAAAAATCTTGCAAGCCGCATTTTGAACTCTCGCTGTGCATGACGTCATCTATTGTTGTTGTTTTGGTTTATCGGCGTTTGTCATTCAGAAGTGAATATTTACACCTAAATATCATCCCTTCTAGTCTACGCCAAAGGCAAAATGATTATGAAGGAAAAACTGTGCGTGAGCTCAATGACATTAACACAGTTTTTCTTCATACCGGTAATCATTTTGCCTTTGACGTAGACTAGAAGCGATGATATTTAGATGACGTCATGGGCAGCGAGAGTTTAAAATACGGCTTGCAAGATTTTCAACATGGTTGACCACCCACTATTGAACCACATGCATGTACATGTACATTATATATAAATATGTAATTTTGATATGAATGAGTAATTCTTCATTTTGTTGACAAGTCAAAGTACACTTGCTGTCTAATTACTACAATGTACATTGTGCATGTACATGTACATGTATCTCAAGAGCAGTATGTTTGTTCACATTTACAAAACATCCCCATTTAACAATCTCGGTCTTTTTAATACTCTTCACTTTATATGAATAGGTCTAGTAGAGGATTGCAACTACATTTGTATATGAATATTTTTTGTTTTATTATTTGTATTGTAATAAAGGATAATAATAATAATAATAATAATGTCTCTAAGCGCTTTACAAGTCCAGAGATGGTAGTTTGAAAATTAATTTTATCTTTAAGGAACAAATATTTAAGTTGCAGAGTAGTACTTGATTGGTTATGGCTTTCACAGAGTGAAGAGACATTTTTTTAGTTTGTAACTTTGTATACAACAATTACAATCCTTTCAACAATGTGATAAATGAAGTAAATGTCAGAATACCTCTCTAGGGATTACCATTCTCTGTTTGATTTTCACATATACATGTTGCATGTATCAAAGAAAACTTATTTTCATTCCATTTCATTGCAGATGATGTTACATGCATGGGATGGTTATGTGAAGTACGCATGGGGTGCCAATGAACTGAAGCCCATCGCTAAGACTGGTCATTCAGCAAGCATCTTTGGGCGGTCTGCCATGGGCGCCACCATCATTGATGGCATCGATACACTCTTCATCATGGGACTGAGGGACGAGTATGAGAAAGCAAGGAATTGGATCACCAATGAATTCAAATTTGATGCGGTGAGTATTCATTTATGGTACTGTTGTTTGGTTTGGTACTTTGGTTAATACATGTAGTTTGTTGGTTGGTTACTTGGTTGTTTGGTTGATGATTGAGAGGTTAGTTGGTTATATTGGTTGGTTAGAAGGTTGATGATAGGTTGGTTTGATTTGTTGGTTGATTGGATGGTTTGGATTGATGGGTTATGTCTTGACTGACAGCTGTTACATTTACATGTACCTACATGTACATATGACAATCCAAAGAGAAGGCATGCACACTCCAGAGAAGTAGCATTCAGTTAGATTTAAGAACAAAAAATTAATCAGTCACTAATCATCAGGTGTACATGTAGGTTGCTCATTTTCAGAGGTCTACATTTATATCACTTGTTACTTTGATTAAGACCATTCTGTAGTTGGCTTTAAACAACTATCTTCATGTACAATGTACCTAAATAATACATTTTACATGATCTACATCAATACCTGAACGGGTTGAGACCCTTATAGTTTCAACATCTGTAGTAATAGTTCAGAACATGATTTGGGTGAATATGCATGTTTGATGTGTCCTTTCAATCCATTAACATGTCCATTTTCTTTAAAAAAATCTTCTTTAAAAAAAAATATGTAAAATTCTGCCTTTGTATTTGGGGTTGAATCATCAATTATAAGCATATGATACCTCTAGGAAAAGATAGTCATTTACAAGTTACAACCAATTTGTAAACTTTAAAGTCAATTATAAGGAAGCTTAGAAGCTAACAAAATCCACTAAATGGGTAATTCCATAAATTAGAGACCCACTCCTGTTTATATACATTGTACATATACAGTGTATTAAAGGAACCCACATGTATTTGTGGCTCTGAGTAAAGACTTAAATAGTGGAGTATAATTGTTCAAGTGATTCTAGGTATGAGGATGCAATATTATGCTTGAAAATCACTTTACAATCTCACTCCACTATTCAAGTCTTTACTCAGAGCCACAAATATGTGGGTTCCTTAAAGGTACTACATGTACATGTATGTCCCATTTGCAGGCCAAAAAAATGAAAAGGTTAAATTCCAACGGCATTCAAAGATAATACTAGTTCAGAACTTCCCTAAAAAAAGGGGGGGGGGGCTTGAAAATGTCTTTAAGTAGGAAAATAACGGTTGTTAGTTGTCGAATCGACTTAAGAGCTATAGAGCCAGTAAGTAATACTCTGATTTTCAGACCATTGTACTGAATGGTCGTACGTTTTATGCTTCGCAAAGATTCAATCAGTTTAATTTTGGCCATTACAAGAAGTGAAGTACATGTAGACAAATGCTCATGTACCCTTTGCAGCTCATTTTATGTACATGTATTTACCAAAGAAGAAAAAAGCCGGTCAGTCACTCAATAGTGTCTGACAGTGAAGTCTACATGTACATGTAGCAATTAAACGGCTTTCCTTGCATAATTTGAATATTAGGACACTGCCAATGTTTAAATTGCACAGATATGACATTTCATAATTCCTGCAAAGTTCTACAGAAATTGATGTTGGCTGCAAAAGGGACATAGTATCTTAAGTAACAGGGACACCAAAAATGTCACAAGGTGGGTCCTTTATTTATGGAATTACCCAAATCTTGATCTTTTCCTGTATGAGTACGAGACAAAAAGAGAAAAAAGGAGAAAAAGAAGGATAAATTACACAAGAAATAGGGAATTGACTTCACTTGAGACATCTGTGATACATTAAAATACAAAAAATAATAGAAAACTATACTGTAGCTGACATCTTACTGAAGCTTTTTTAATTTTTTAATTTGTTTATAAAGCTGCACTCAGGATTAGAAACTGGTGTGAAGATTCATCCAAGTTCACACATTTGAAAGCAGCCCTACCACACGTTAACAATATACTTCATTATCTCAATGCACACATCCTCATACACATATAAAGAGCAAAGAGCTACAAAGTTCAAATCAATTGCAGTGCAATTTTTGTGTAAACCGAAATGTATGATACTATGCTGTGCCCAACTCTAAAAGGTTCGTCCAAATTGATGTTTTTGAAGCTTGTCCTACCCCATATTTCACTGTACAAATACTGTAAGAATTTCGGCACAAAGTCCATATTACTTGCGGACTGTGCATTTGCAGTCTTGTTTTAATATAAAAAGAAATGCAGGAAACTACACTGTATTCTCTGTTGCCAATTTTTGTTTAAACAAGTGTAAGATTTGGATCAATATAATGATTTAGTTTGCAACGCATGATGTACAGGCATAAGGATGAGTGTAAACTTTAAAGAGTCAAGTTCATGGCTTTGAAGGCAGTTCTGCCTTTTAAGGCCAAATATTTAAAAAAAAGTGTTTCTGATCCCCATCCGCCTCCTTTTTTTTTCACAATTTACTATTTAGAAGAAAAAAAGCCCCCTCCTCCCTCTCCTCCCCCCCCCCCAAAAAAAAGCCTGTGATATTCCTATTGTTTAAATAGCTTCTAAATTGATACAAATCATTTGTTTTGTCATACATGTACATGTTGTACATGTACATTGCATCAGTATACTCACATACACTTTACATGTACATGTACATGTAGCATGGCAGCCATCTTTTAAAAAAATAGCTAAAAATTGCAAAATAGTAAATAGAAATGCCCTGCCTCCTCTTTTTTTTCAAAGTCTGGATGAGAAACACCTTATTTTTGTTATTTGGCCTTTAAGTACTTCAACATATCACTGTATGAATATAAAGATGTTTGTGTGTAGTGTTATGTCAACAAAGATACACCCATTGATCCAAAGACTGACATCATGCAACCTGGGCTCAATCTCATTGTCTTTATTGCAACTTTTAAAAATTAGTTAATTTTATGATAAAATGATGGAAATACATTGTAGATAGACTCTTCTTTATACTGTACATGTACATTGTATATAGTACCTGTACTGTACATTGTAGTATGTGTACATTGTACATACAGTGTAGACACATTTTGAAAGTTTTAAAAACTCCAACCTGCCTGTATACTGTACATGTGTTTGTAATACACCCTTTCATGGTTAAAGGGATCAGTTTCGGAAACGCCCCCCTCTAAAAAAATGAAATGGAAGCTCTTATTACCAATCATGTGAAAGAATATATTTAAACGAATACGTGATGATACAAATTTTACCGGGACACCGCCTACTAATTAATAGCATCATCACTGATTTCAGGTGCGCATGTCGAGTAAACGACTTTGTTTACTCATAATTTAAAAAGGCGCCTACAGTATGTCAGCGCATGCGCACTCTTGTAACCGCGAAAGGGTGTATTGCCTAAAGTGTATAGGCCCACAAATTCAGAATTACAAATAGATCACAGTTTATAATCATGTACAGGGTAGTGAGAGAAATACAATGGAGCAGGAGCACTTTAGCACTTGAAAGTTTTTAAAAAGCTCTGTTGAAATAAATGAAAAGAAGACAAATTAATTGATAAAACAATTAAAAAACAAACAAGCAAAAATCAGACTCCATCACACACTTTGCTATTAAATCTTACTACAAGAAGGATTAATTTTTAAACATATTTCCCACCATTTCAATAGCTTTCAAATATCTTTTGTTTGCTGAGGTTTAAAGTATTTGTAGGATGTTGTGAATTAATAATAATAATAGTAATAAAATTGAATATTTAGGAGCGCTAAGAACAATAAGTACCTTTAATAGCGTTTATGAAAAGAGGACAAAAAATGTACAGTCTCAAAGGAAGTAGATCACATACATGTAGATCACTGGGAAAAAATAAATCTGTCAATGATTTCACCACAATCATTAACAGATTGTGTTTGATTATTGATATCTCATTACTAGAATGCACATTTACATTGTTAGCGATGCATGATATTCTATCTCCAATAATCCCAGTACTATTGATGCCCAAGGTTGACAACAGCAACATGCACTCTCGTAGTTAATCTTACTTACTTCAGATAGCCTCAGATTTTTTTCCAGTCACTATGAATTGTCTATTTCATTTTCAGTGAGTTTGGATTATTAGAATGTAAGGCTGCGACGGGTAGTCGAATGCTCGAGTACCCGCACGGTTGACAACTACTCGGGTACGATTTCTTGTACCCGAATATTCGGCCGCAAAAAAAAAAAATGTCCAGGCCCACGCTTACCCGTGCCAGGGAGAGCGGCGTCCGCTGGCATGGTACCGTCGGTAAAAATGTTTCCCAACTCGAGCACTGTCAAACTCACCTTTCAGAAACTGGGACCAAATGTCCAGATTTCTGTTTGGACTTGGAGGAAAATGGATTATTCTGCCATCTTTGGTTTTTAAAACAGCATTGTTTACTGTTATTATTCTTATTAAATCGGCGCCTTCAACTGCAACTCAAAGTAAAGTTGCATGCGTTTTCAGCGAGGGACCTGAGAAACTGCCAAGTGGTATGGTAGTGGCAAAAAAAGAAAAAAAATCCAAAAATCCAAAAATTAAAAAAAATCAAAAAAATTCAAAAAAATTCAAAAAAATTCAAAAAAATTATAAAAAAACATGGCGTCCGAATATTCGAGTATTCGCCTGTGAGCCTGGGAGTGTACTCGGGTACCTCATTACACTGTTGTGCACAGCCCTATTAGAATGTGCACGTAGTACATGTATTGTACGTCCATCTCACTTTCTCGTTATCCCGATATCTCAAGAACTACTGGAGTAACAGTATGTAGGTCACAGAGGTCGACTTAAAAAATCCAGGTTTCGGCCGTCCGTCCATTTGTCCTGCTTTCTAGTTAAATCACGTTATCTCAAGAACCACTAGAGATATGAGGCTCAAACTTGCTGATAATATGTATCACCATAGGAAGAAGATCTGATTAGAGGTTGGGTTAGTAGGTCAAAGGTCACGGAGGTCAACTTCTAACCCTATGGTGATATTAGTACTATACATGTAGGAAGATGATCCAATTACATTTTGGGGCTAGTACATTTTGTAGGTCAAGATCATAGTTTGTTAGTTAAAATTTGATTATACAAGTACATGTACATGTAC